GCCGGGATGTTATTATTCACATAGTTGATTCCCTTGCCGGGGTGTTATTATTCATATTGTTGGATCGGGATACCAAGAGATCCCTAGCACATATATTGAGAATACCAAGAGATCCTCGGGATACCAAGAGATCCCCAGCACATATATTGAGGATACCAAGAGATCCTCGTGATACCAAGAGATCCCTAGCTCATATACTGAGGATACTGAGAGATCCCCCAAGTACTTACGTTTTGAACTATGGGACGAGATCCCGGGAGATATTCTGTGAGTGTAAAAGCACGAAGGGTGATGCCGCGCACTTTCTATTTCCTGTGTTTATTTGTTGTTATCAATTCAAGTGTTTTAACGGGTTAGATTCCCTTACTGCTGTGATTCTTTGTGTTGGAACCCATAGTATTGTCATATATATATATATATATAATATTTCAATACTTCAAACTTCAATAATTTCTACATTTTTGACTCAATTAGTTTCTCAACTAAATTTTCCTTAAATCGTCTGAGGTTGTATTCTACTTAAAAGGAATTTCTACTAAGTTGTAAATTATTAAATCTCATGGTAAAGGTAATAATTCATTCGATGTTGTATTCTAATTAAAAATGGTACTTTCTTTATTCAAATGATTTTTAAAAATAACTTCATCTTTTCTCCCTAGCTTTCCTAATTAGTTTAGAATTTGTAATTTACTTATATCAGGTAAATGAGACTTTTTTGTCACGACCCGGATTTTCCACCCTCGGGAGTCGTGATGGCGCCTAAAGAAGCTGTTGGAGGCTTCGAAACACATAATTAAGTTCTAAAACTCTAGATGACCTATCGGGTCATCACAATATGCGAATAAAGTCTCACATTGGAAGCTGAAAAGATTGGGAACCTATGTATAACGTGTATGAATCTCTTAATGATATGAGGTCTTTGGAGAAAATACCATACGAGTTTGACCCAAAGCGGACAATATTATATCTTCGGACGGGTTAACTCCAACAAATATTGTATAAGACATATAAGACAATGTTATCACTTTAGTTTGTCATGACATCCCTGCAGCTAGATTCTTGGCTCTTTAGAATAGGGTAAGAAGAATGTCTAATCCCACTTTGAGTAATTCTGGCTCATGGATGATTAATTGCCTCTTTGCAGCACCTTACGAGACCAATAAACCCATTAACTGGCTTCTAAGGTTAATGAAAGGTTTAGTACAAGCAGCAGCTTAGGGTAAAGGGAAGCTTTTTCATATGCCACTAACATAATTAGAAAGACGATTATATATATTATCTAATCAATCAGACATTTAAGCTAATTAAATTATTATTTGTAGTTCTTACGTGTTGGGTAGTTGGCGAGTAATTAATCCAATGAAACTCAAGGACATTATAATGTGCTGTAGGCGTCAGCATTAATAATGGAAAAAAGTAGAAAACCCCAAAAGGGAAAAATGACAATCTAGTTCAAATGCCTTAGCTTTTGTTTAAGGAATTCCAGCAACAATACCTTTCTGGAGAATAATAAGCGTCCACACAATTTCTTTACCATGGTTTAAAAAATAGTCTACTGTCAGAATTAATAGTAATAAAAAAACTCCCAACCGTCCTCCTTTGTGCATTTCAACTTTTTCGCCGCTGTCACTAAAGCTGGTGGAGACAAAATGGAAAGGTTGAAAGATATATGCCTGCTGTATTATTCTTCATTGAAATGACAATTTTGTCGCTTTTCGGTGAAATTAGTATACGTACCCGCGCATTGCACGATTTATATAAAATATAATATTTCAAAAAGAATATAATATGAAAAAATTTGATAGACACAAAGGAGCATTACAATGCTATTATTTTTATGAACATATAAATGTACTGGATATTCATACATTAAAGTCACGAGGAAATAGACTTATCTATTAGAAAACATATGGCGAGGAAAGGACGTAGTTTAAATATGACACTGTGATGACCCAAAAGGTCATCACTCATTTTGAAAGTAAATTCTGTGTTCCGAGGCCTTATAAACCTCTTTTCGCCTCACCTCGATTTGCGTGCGTAGTCCGGGCGCGTTTTCGGAAAGCTTTTATGTGAAATCTAAGTAAAATAAGGAAATTGGCTTTTTAAAATTGATTAAAGTTGACTTTGGTCAATATTCTTGGTAAACGGACCCGACCCCGTGATCCGATGGTCTCGTAGGGTCCGTAGTAAAATATGGGACTTGAGCATATGCCCGGAATTGAATTCCGAGGTCCCAAGCCCGAGAAATGAATTTTAAAAAAAAATTATTTGCTGGAAAATATAAAGGTTTTTAAAAGTGAATTGATGTATTTTCTTGATGATATCGGACTCGTATCTTGGTTCCGAAGCCCGATACAAGTTTAAAATAATAATTAAGTTGAATTTGTAAAATTTGGGAAAGATCGGAATTGGTTTGGTATAAAAACTAACCTATAGTTGAGAAAATAGTAATTTTGATGTTCTTGAGTGATTTTATGAATTTGAGGTTTAATTCATAGTTGTTGATGTTATTTTGATGATTTGATCGCACGAGCAAGTTCGTATGATATTTTTGGACTTGCGTGCATGTTTGGTTTGGAGCCCCGAGGGCTCGGGTGAGTTTTGGATTGGCCACGGAGTGAATTTGGACTTAGAGAAATAGTTGTTGCACGTTCAATTGTGTTGCAGGCTCTGATCTCGCAATTGCGAGGTCAGGCTTCGCAATTGCGAACCCAGCAGGCTTGGCAATTGTGAGGGCTTGATCGCATTTGCGAAGAAAGCCCAGGCCTGCCAGTGTTCGCAATTGCGAACCTTCCTTCGCAAATGCGAAGTCATCAAGAGAGGGCCAATATCGCAATTTCAACGATTTGTTCGCAATTGCGAGGTAAGCAGACCGTGCACAGGTTCGTAAATGCGAGGTTTGGTTTGCATTTGCGAGCTTCGCAACTCTGGTCGCAATTGCGAGCTTCGCAACTCCCGTCGCAATTGCGACATCTGCGACCAGTTAATTGGGACTTAGACCAAATTTTCTTCATTTTTCAAACTCTCTCAAACCCTAAGCTCTCTTGGGCGATTTTCCAAAGAAAAGTTATTCTCCAAATCAATTGTAAGTCATTTCTAACTCGTTTTCTTTAATCCATAACATTTTTTCACATGATTTCAATTCAAAATCAAGGGGTTTTTATGGGGGAAATTGGGTGTTTTAGGTAGAACTTAGAATTTTCAATTTTTGGGAATTTGGACCTCGATTTGAGGTCCGATTTCAAAACAAATTATATATTTGAGTTCGTGGGTGAATAGGTAATCGGGTTTTGGTTCGAACCTCGGGTTTTGACCATGTGGCCCGAGGTCGATTTTTGACTTTTTGGGGAAATCACTAGAAAATCTATTTTCATGCATCAGAATTAGTTTACTTAGCATTTATTAATATTATTAAGTAAATTGTGGCTAGATACAAGCAAATTGGAAGTGAAATCGAGAGGTAAAGCGGTAGTTGAGGCTTGATTGTGTTCGTGACATTGAGGTAAGTGTTTGGTCTAACCTTAGCTTGAGAGAATAGGAGTCTTGGTCATATTTGCTACGTATTAATTGTTGAGTGCGACGTATAGGTGTGGTGACGAGTATCTATACGTCGGTGTCAAGCATGCTCGTGAGTCTTGTACTATAATTGACGTGATTCCGTTTTGTATCATCCATGCCTAATATAATAATTTCTAATGTTGAACAAGGCTTATGTAAGTATTCTTGGTAATTGAACATTGTAGAGCATTGGCTCAAGTTGAGAATTGAGTTGTGAAGTAATTTTATAGAAAAGAGAAGAGGTTTATGATATTGTCTCCCTTGCCGGGAAGTTATTGCTTTGATATTATCTCCCTTTTCGGGATGTTATTGTTCATGATATTATTTCCTTGCCGGGATATTATTGATATATTATTGTTCCCTTGCCGGGATCCTATTGTGATTTTATTTGATTCCCTTGCCGGAATTGCTTTGTGATTGTTGCTTGGGTAAGGATGAGTGTAAAAGCACGAAGGGTGATGCCATGCGTGATAATTGTGAGAGGGTGTTAATGCACGAAGCGTGATGCCGTGCCATGATATGAGTGATAATCCACGAAGGAAACATGCCATGATTATGTGAGGTAAAAACACGAAGGGTGATGCCGTGCCGATTATATTGATTCTTATGGTGAGAACGAGAGTAAAAGTACGAAGGGTGATGTCGTGCACCTGTGATTGTTTTCCTTATTCTTATTTATAGTAGAATTTTGTACTCCGTATGCTTCTTTACTGAATTCTTGTTCGTACATGATATTCCCCGAGCATGTTTCCCTTCACCATTTTTAACTGCTAGTTTCTGTCGTTATTACTTGCTGTATATGATATAACTGCACATGTTTATTTGGTAGTCTTGTCCTAGCCTCATCACTACTTCGCCGAGGTTAGGCTCGGCACTTACCAACACATGAGGTCGGTTGTGCTGATACTACACTCTGTACTGTGTGCAGATCCCAGTGCTGGAGCTTTTAGACCACAGTGAGGTTGCTGCCTTCAGTCCATCAGGAGACCCGAGGTAGTCCTGCAGACGTTCGCAGGCCTTGGCGTCCCCTTCCTACTATCTTTCCATTCTGTTTCTTTTATGTATTTCAGATACATCTTTGTATTTATCTTTCAGACCACTGTTTGTAGTATTCATAGATAGTCCGTGACATTGTGACACTAAATTCTGAGTAGAGTTGTATGTTAGATTCTGTACTAGTATATGGTTAAACTATTAGTTTTCGTCTTCCGCATTTCTATTTATTATAATTATTCCGTTGTTGATCACCTGTTGTATTGAATTGTTAAAAGAGCTAAGTAAAAAGGTTAATGAATCTATAATGCTCGGCTTGCCTAGCTTTCATGAGTAGGCGCCATCACAACTTCTGAGGGTGGAAAATTCGGATCGTGACAGACACATAGAAAAAAGTAATTGTGATTGAAAAATATTTATGTTAAAATAACCACATTGTAGTTGCTACATATCATATCTACTACTTGCAAAATGCTTGTTTGTTAGTCATTCATCATTACAAGTCCATAACCAAAATCAGTATTATAACATAGGTTGCTACGTCTGTCCGACTTGTCCTGTAGCTGTCCGTCTTATCCTGTACATATCCGGATTCTTTCCAACTTGGCCTACACCTGTTCAACTTATCTGGTTTAGCAAGCAATACCCGAAAAACATATATGATAATGATCTGTAGCAGAGATAATTAACAAAGCAAACTCATAGCAATACTCTATCTGATTTAGTGGCTTCATGAATTCACTTTAAAAGTTTGATCTATTGAATACATAGGTATCCAACCAACAAAGTAAATAGGGAAGGAAATCAAATTATTAAGATTGCCAACTCATTGTTCATATCTGCAGCATTTATGTCCACTGTCTGCCCGTTTGGTTATTTACTCAGACCACATAAAGCCTTTAAAAAGATGATAAAAAAACAGACATTCCTCTAGTAGTATACTGATACAATAATGTAAAACAAAAAACAATAAGAACTATGACACAATAACAAACCTTGTTTCTGAGTTGTATTAAGACTTGTTGTCTATTTGAATAAGTCTTTATCAGCCTTCTTCCTTTGCATCTTCTCCTTCACTTTTTTCTCGAGTGACATGACTAACTTCAATAATCTCCTCAAGATTTGGCTTAACTATGGCTTTCGTTTGAGCTGGTTTCTTTACTGCAGATACTTTAGCAACATTTTCTCCTTTTACCTTAACAACTATATGTTTCTGCAAACAACAAAAAAAACCATAAGTCCACAACCTCTCTTCTCGCATTATAACATGAGTTTAATTGAAATGCATAAAAAGATTATCACTTCCATTGTCATAACCTTCTGATTTTTAGGTGCAGCCTGTGCATTAGGCAACAATTGTGCATAAAAGATCCTTGTTAAGGGGCGAGATACCTGACGAAGTGACTTTTTTCCTTCGACCCCACGATCTATAGCCACATTACCAATATCGCCATGCGCCTTCCTATTTCTTCCTTTTGCTGCCATATTCTTTTTCTGCTTTGCTGCCTCAGGGAATGCCTCACCCGAAAAATATAAAAGTTTATCTATATTATTAGTATCAAACATAATACCATTAACATTCAATACATAGTATAATATTTATAGAGTTGATTATGTAACATCATATATTGAACCATCTATCAACAACATTTCAAGAGGTTCAGCCAATAACAAAGGATGGTGCAGAAAGTCTATCTATTTAGTATGAAACAAAATACCCCAAACATTCAATAATATTTAGAGTTTGAGTATATGTAACATCATTTAACATGATAGCTGGTTCACCCTATAAAAAACGTTTATGACACTGAAAGTTTGTTAAGAGACCTATTCAAAAATAATAGGCCGCCGCTTACTTCATCAGTTTAATTTTAACACAACTTTTATTTCTTTTGTTAAAAGGTAAAGAAACAACATATAATGATTGAATGTGCATCATTTACTGAAAAACTATATCACATGTAGCCAAATATGTCGATTGGTTCACATAGGTATCCAACCAACAGAGAAAGTATGGAAGGAAATCAAATAGTTAAGACTGTAAGAGCTGAAATAAATAAGTAAACATATTGTAATTTATGTAGTCTCTAAAGTATTTAATACTTGTGTCAAGGCTATTCTTGTTCACTTATTGGTCATGATGAACAACTGATCATGATTGTTCCAATTCAAGCCTTTGCCATATAATGATACATTCTTCAAAGCACCATTTTCTTTCCTTGCATTGTGAATGACTTACCATTGCTATAAATTAGGTGTAAAAAAAGACTATAATACTTCAAGCTATCATGGTGCAAATGCCTTATGGTGTAAATGACTTACCATTGCTACAAATGGATTGTCTTATCTATATGAATAGGAAACTGTAATAACAGAAAGAACCATGAATAACTTCATATATCTTGTCCATAAGTATTGAAATTTGCAACCTAAGTAAAATGAAAAAGTTAAATAGCCAAAAATACTTGAAATGATACTGTTCATAACTAATAAGACTACTAAAGTAACTAATCAGATAGTTCTTGATTTCTCTAAGTGTTACATTTGCAAAACCCTTATGCTGTTTTGTTCTTCTTAAATACTCTCTTGATTTTATTTCCTAACAACTGTGCATTCGGATCTTCTTCAAACACTATTGCAGCATAGTTATACCAATCTTGGTAGGTGTATTTGCAATATCGATTAACTCATTATCTTCAGTGTACTCCTGCATATAAAAAGTACCAAAATTTATGAAAATAAATAGTAAACTTATAGTTCATGTAGCTTTATTAATTTATATCCTGCAAATACTTTAATTAAATTAATCAATAACCTAAAAAATATTAATAGGGAGTTCGTAGCGTCCTATAGAATAAAAAGAATGAACATTCAAAACCTTTAAAGTTAAAAAAACACTCCAGATCGAAAATTTATTTAGAAAGATATCTTTCTAGATATATAAGTATCTTTAATGTTGAAGGACAAATTAAAAGTCATCGATGTACTTACCTCGCATTCCTTCTCTCCATCTAAGCCTTGATTAGTATTGAAGTGAAGGTCCTACCAAACATTAATAAATAAATAAGTTTGAAATTATACTACAAAATATGCAATTTAACAGAAATTTGCAATTTAAATATGTTATGAAGTTTGTGAGTGAAGATCACATACAATGAAGGCATCTGAATGTGGCATGAACATACTTCTTTATCAATTCCTCCTCATCTGTAAGCTTGACAACACTGTAAACTTCAGCTTGCAACCAAATGTTCGAGCTCTTGACAATAACCTTAAACATGAATTTTCTTTGAAGAATATTGTTCAACTCAACTGGATAGGAATACTCATCAACAATGCCAGTATTCTAGAAATAAATTTTGCGTTAGAATTTTCCAAATAACAAATATGAATTTAATTAGTTGATATACCTCAAGTAATCCTTCCCTCAATTCATTCGCAGACTTGCCTATGAGAAACATGGCTTCGCGGTCCCAAAGCAGTAGGGAAACAGATCCAGTAGTATCCAGTACCCTAACCTGAAGCCTGTACCTAAAGCACGTTTGATTTGAGATATAAATGTACATTTTGACGGAAGGAGGAAATAGAGCTTCTGTTATTACCTATTCATCGCCGAAAATCTTCTTTTTTATACTTTGGTTTAGCCAAAGATAAATGTTTCCCATTTTATCCACCTTCTTTTGGCACTTCTTACAGCTGACATATGATCACCCTTTTCCAAGTTCTAAATTTTTGATACTTGCAACAATCCAACAGGGACCTTTCTATTGAATTAAATAATAAACATTAGATAGTAAAGTTGAGAGAGAGCATATATGTGCAAATCATGAATGATATAATTTAAGCATACTTTCTATTAGAAATATCACGGTTGTCTTCCATTACTAACCAAAATGCCATCCGAGAGGTGAACATATGAAGCATGATTTGTCGTAAAACATATGTTACATATAACTTCCTTATTGCAAAGATTAAAGATATATTAATTTGCATGACTATATCATTTGGTATTTAAAGATAGTGTTTCTGTTATTAAATTACTAATTGGCTAAAAATAAGGAGGAACTTATGTAAAAAAGGGTTAAGTGTGCAGTAGAATATTGATATGATTGGAGTTTTTCTTATATTTTTCTTTTGTGCATTCTGCTAAGCATAAAAAAGGCATTAGCCCCCAACGATTTCACTTGCTAAACAGAGCTATCATATTCTCCATCCATTATTAATACCAAGTTATATTTTGAGGACATGTAACATGACTTTGCAAGCTATAGTTTTTTTTGAACTATGTGAGATTTGTTTTGAAGTGATAGGTACGGTTTCATAGTCCAACTATAAATCCAACCTTGATTATATCATCCTTACTCTGTATTTTCAATTAGTCAATTTATCACACAACGATTTACACGATACATTGTAAAAGCTGTGCATAGAACAACTATTAACATTAAAGAACGGTTGAATTACTACTACACAAGATAGTTTACTCACTTGCATGGACTCCACTAATTGGCCAATTATTTGAACTTGAACAATGCCCTTCTCTAACTCATTCGAGATAGAGTAACTTTGTTGAGAGATAGTTTGAGTCAGCCTCTCAGTATAATTATCCCGAATAGAAAGTAATCTGTATTTATGAATGAGTAAAATAGTTAGATGTATACTTGAAAAATATATTTGAGGATAGATGCAATGAAAAAAAACATATATTGATCCGTGTTTTAAACTCATCTGATTGAGAAAAATTTGGATTAATCCAAAGCTTTGATGCATTCCAAGTATTGCGCGCAGAATATGAATCTACAGCACAACATACGTTTAAGATGTAATGAGTAACTTTCACAAAATAATGTCAAATTGAATAATTACATTTTACCTTGTATGGACTTTTATGAGTTGCATAACAATAATAATAGGTTGGTTGTTAGAACTTAGCAGGTGAGGTACAATTTCATCAACAAATTCGCCCCAGAATGTAGCAGACAACTTCTTCTTCCCGCCAAATAGAAATAGATATATAATTTTAATCAAATGTAATCATTAAATCCATCCTTAATCAGTAGATGAATGTTTATTCTTTAATTAGTAGATGAATGTTTATTCTTACTCATTATCTTCTAGTTCGATATCCATAAACTTCCTCGAAATTTCACCTTGTTTGTGTGTTTTTACCTCACTAAAACCGACGATTTCTCCGATCACATCTAAGAAAAAGAAGATGTTAAAGAAATAATAGAAAAAGTTGATAATTAGAAATTTAATGAAAAAGTTATTATTACTGAATAATTCAGTCTCGTTCACATCAACCTTATTTATCAATTGGTCATATGGTCATAGATCGAAGATATTCATAGGGAAAAATGAATCAGTTGTTTCAGTTACTGTTGTTCGTTGAGTAAATGTCAGCCTCAACCTATGTTTTGTGGTATTAAACCTCTCTTTATTTTGACAAACGATAAAGTTCGCCATAAGATATAATCCAAGCTCATTAATTTGTGTCTTGAAAAGAGGCAAAACTGACTTTCCAATTAGAGGCAGATTCAGTTCATTAGCTACGGGTTCCCGTGAACCCAGTAGCTTTTGTCTAGAACATGTTTTTGTATTGACAAATTCATTAAATGTATAAGAATATTTAGCTTGGAACCCAGTCCGTTCATCCGGTTAATATTGTATATTAACTCAATTTTGTAGGAACCCATAAACCTAAAATCCTAGATCTGCCTCTGTTTCCAATAGAAGCATGTATCCGATCTCCCTACAAAGAATTACATTAAATTAGAGAAAATATTTGAATGAATTAGTAAGACAATAATTCCAGATTAACTCATACAAATCTGCAACTTAATCACATGAATAACAGAGAAGGTCTAACGAATTAGCAAAAAAAAATATTCAGAGTAACTAATAATAGAGTTTACTAATACAACTTATAAATAATAGAGTTTAATGAAATAGTAAGTCAAACAAATACAGGAAGAACTCCAAATTTACTTTTCAACAATAGACTTGAATGAATTAGTAAGTCACATAAACAGAGGAACTACTCTAGACTTGAAACATAATTAATACTAATAGTACTTTTATCCAGTAGAGTTGAACGAATTAATAACTCAAACACAGAAAGCAACAAATTGAAATTTGCAACTTAAGAATTAAAGGGATAGTAAATATCCTCCAGAATTCACAAAGCACCAAAAGAAAGTTTGGATGAATGAGTGAAGTGCCTCTTAAAGAGAAAGAGAGAACATAAGGAGATACGCCCCAATAAACTGTAACGACCCGACCAGTCGTCTCATGAGTTACTGCTCCGTTTCCCCTATTTATGCTTCTTATTGCTTTGTTTATCGATTCTATATATGATCGGGTTGGTTGGTTCGGGTTCGAAGAGGTTTTGAGATGGTTTGAGACACTTAGCCTCTTTTGAGGAAGCTTAAGTTGGAAAAGTCAATCGGATGTTGACTTATGTGTTAGAGGGTTCGGATGTGAGTTCCAATGGTTCGGATAGCTTCTAAAGGTGATTTGGGACTTAGGAGCGTGATCGGAATGTGTTTTGGAGGTCCGGAGTAGATTTAGGCTTGAATTGGCGAAATTG